TCTCTTGACTACACTGACTAGGTGTCTGTATCTTTGATAGTTCTCTTGACTACACATACTGACTAGGTGTCTGTATCTTTGATAGTTCTCTTTGACTACACATACTGACTAGGTGTCTGTATCTGTGATAGTTCTCTTGACTACACTGACTAGGTGTCTGTATCTTTGATAGTTCTCTTGACTACACATACTGACTAGGTGTCTGTATCTGTGATAGTTCTCTTGACTACACATACTGACTAAGTGTCTGTATCTTTGATAGTTCTCCTTACTACACATACTGACTAGGTGTCTATCTTTGATAGTTCTCTTGACTACACATACTGACTAGGTGTCTATATCTTTGATAGTTCTCCTGACTTACACATACTGACTAGGTGTCTGTATCTTTGATATTTCTCTTTGACTACACATACTGACTAGGTGTCTGTATCGTTGATGGTTCTCTTGACTACACATACTGACTAGGTGTCTGTATCTTTGATAGTTCTCTTGACTACACATACTGACTAGGTGTCTGTATCTTTGATGGTTCTCTTGACTACACATACTGACTAGGTGTCTGTATCTTTGATAGTTCTCTTGACTACACATACTGACTAGGTGTCTGTATCTTTGATAGTTCTCTTGACTACACATACTGACTAGGTGTCTGTATCTTTGATAGTTCTCTTGACTACACATACTGACTAGGTGTCTGTATCTTTGATGGTTCTCTTGACTACACATATTGACTAGGTGTCTGTATCTTTGATGGTTCTCTTGACTACACATACTGACTAGGTGTCTGTATCTTTGATAGTTCTCTTGACTACACATACTGACTAGGTGTTTGTATCTTTGATGGTTCTCTTGACTACACATACTGACTAGGTGTCTGTATCTTTGATGGTTCTCTTGACTACACATACTGACTAGGTGTCTGTATCTTTGATAGTTCTCTTGACTACACATACTGACTAGGTGTCTGTATCTTTGATAGTTCTCTTGACTACACATACTGACTAAGTGTCTGTATCTTTGATAGTTCTCTTGACTACACATACTGACTAGGTGTCTGTATCTTTGATGGTTCTCTTGATATGTGTGCAGAGAAATTCTAGACGTCTTACTGAAGATTCTTTAAACCTAAACACACACAAATGCCTAATTGTTGTATTTTAATCATTTTTGGTAGACAGAATAACTAGATGTCTTTTTATGAAGTTAATGTTTATACAAAGTGAACAGAAAGGTCCATTCTAGAGATCTCATCCTCCCATGACACTGCAATGCATACCAGGAGTAGAGAAAAGAAGAAAAATGTTTTCCTTTTGGGTTTCAGGGCCCTAGTTTAGTGGGTAAAAGAATAGACTGGCTGCTCCCCTGCAAGCATGTCATAAAAGTTGGCTAATTAGGGGTGTTTACTTCCATGTAGGTGTGCATGTGCCTCAGAGATAAGGAACCAACAGTCTGCATAATGTAAGCCAGATCTGTTGAGTGTTGAGCTAAGAACTGACACTACAGTGTCCCAGACATTCCCATATGCGCTCCATTCTCATTTTCAAAAGCCAGCAAGAGTTCCTTTTATGAAGCCAGATATGTGAAACAGATTAATGCAAATCTAAAATCTTTGTAGATAACTAAAGTGCAGAAGTGTGTGAGCAAGCAGAACTTTCTGTCAGAGTTAACAATGGGTGAATAAGTTCTCTTGACATGAAATAACTCTATGACTTTGTTTGAAATTAGTTCTGTTTAATGAATTTGATTATCTGTGCACAAAATGATTATACTTTTTTTTTGTAGTTAGTTATCTACACATGAAATAAAATATTTTTTTTTTTTTTTAAATTAGATTAGTTCTCTGTGCACAAAATAACTAGGCCTCTCTTTATGACATTAGTTCTCCACATTTGAAATAACTAGTTGTGTTTAACTAAATCAGTTCTTTCTGCAAAAAATGACTTGGTTTATTTTTCTTTGTCAAGTTCCTTTTAAATGTAGACCCAGATGGGGGGGGGGGGGGGGGGGGGGGGGGGGTTGAATTTGTGCTCTTGTCTTTTATAAACAGAACTGAATGTATTTACCTTTACATGCGGGGTACCTGCATGTCATCTCCTGCTTGTTTCTGGGTTTCTCGGTGTGTGCACATACAGTCATTAATTAGATGTCTATTTCTGTAGCCAGTCCCCTCTGAAGTGCAAACTGAGAGTTACATAAGCACAGCATTAATAATTGTGTACTCTCTCACTGTGTGTTATTTGGGCAGGGAGCGAATATCTCACTTAGTGATAATCTTTACGTAGCCCACTTAGTAATAATCTGTATGTGTCCCACAGTGATAATCTTTACAAAAGTTAGTATATGCCCCATGTTCTTGTAGTTATCAGTATAGGGATGAAGACATGTCCCACTTAGTATTATCAGAATAAGGGTTTCCATGTAGTAACCATCAGTACAAGATGGAGATTCTATCTGGTTTCGTCATAACTGTCATTTCAGAAAAGAATGCGTCTTATAGGTATTATACAGGGGACAAGATATCCAACTTCTCGTTACCTTTTCTAAGTAGTGAGAACACATGTCCTATTTCTTGTCATTGTTACAGTTGAGATGGAATCTACCCCTTCTCATTATCCTTAAAATTGAAATAACATGTCTTATTTCTTGTTCCCTTTACCAGTGAGAGCAAATGTAGTGTATAATTGAATACAAATAGTGACCTGACAATCTTATTCTGACACACGTCAGCTTCTCTGGGTTCTGTACATAGAGAAAACATATGATACATGTTGCTAGATGAGATGGATATTCTGTTCTCATTGATTTCTTCATGAGATCTCGTTGTTGGTAAGCTCTGACTCGTCTTTATACTGATCCTCTATGGATCACCGCTGCACACACAAACATAGAAGGATAGAGATCCATGCAGAGACTTGCACCCCATTGTTACATTTAAGATTACTTTAATTATACATCTGATTTTGACCAGAAATGTGTGAGGAGTGGTATAGTTGTGATCTGTTGTTTCTTGACCATAAGTTGTCCTTTCTAAAATATGATTGTACAGAAAAAGTCTCATCTCGTACGTGTGTTGGGGTTGTCAGCATTCATCTTCTCTGTCACACTCCGCTATTTCTTTCTCTGATGACCTACAAAGTTTTATCTTTATGTCCTCCACCCGTTGTGAAAAAAAAAAGAGGTTTGCCGTTGGTTCCAGATATGTTCAGACATGTTTTCCGTAAGATTTCAGCAGGGCCTAGAGCACATTTAGAGTTGTGGTAACACCGTGTAGCAAGTGTACTCACCCCACTGATCTCTGCTCATGGGTTTAAGTCTCACTCAAAGTGAGTTTTTTAATGACACCCCCCCCCCCCCCCCTCCTTTAGCAAGGCTAACCCAGACTTACCGAATGGACACACCAGAGGTCAGACCCACAGCTTAACCAAGCACATTACAGTCGTCAAGCCTGCACTGCACACCCCCCCCCCCCCCCCCCATCCCCACCCTTCTTTGCTACAGTGGTAGAGAAACATATGTGTGAGACTTACAATTTTGAATACTTTACCCATACACAGACATACACATGAACTTAAATGTGCATATTTACAAACCTGAACAGAATTTTATTGCAGGTCTCATAAACTATTTTTATTTTATCGGTTCTCTAAAAACTGAAGCACTCCATATATCATTCAGAAATCTTTCTCTGGTACCGAAGAGCTGTGAGAAATAAAAACTGTTTCAGATCTATTAGCTCCAATAAGAAAAAGAAAGACCTCTAAAATAACAAAGGTCTTATGAGGTTCAGTCAGATACAGCATATTTATTTCTGAAATATTATCGGTGGTCAGAAGGAAATGTGGTGGTAAATGATTGACTGAAATACATGGCTGCAGGTGGATGCAGACAGACATGGCTTCTATGTTTTTCATATATGTTCACACTGGCTTCATCAGAAGTTCTTAACCATTGCTGGTGCAGCCTCATCCTTTCTTGCTCTCCCCTCTCTTGCCCCACCCGTGGCTGCCTGTTGTTGCCACATATGACCTGATGAGAATCAAGCTAGTCTCAACCCCAATGGTCATGGTCTAGAGAGCAACAGACTCATGCAGTCCTCCTACACAGGGCAAGTAACTGGACCCCTGCTGTTGTCCCCTGGTCTGTATACCATCCTTCTGTTGGCCCTGTTTTCGGTGTGTTTCCGCCTTGCCACAAACACCAGTCTCCTGCCTGGAATGTTGCCAGTCTCTTCGTTGTGACAACTGTCTTTGAACACTGCAGTGTTTTCACTTTTGTTCTCCTTGTTTACAAATTACTTGATGCCTTCGTGTCACCATGTTTTTTCCAGTCACTAGCGTTGTTGCAGGGCAACAGTTACTGTCCAATGTGGTGTTTTATTTTCCTTGAATATTTGCGACAGCAATTTCTCAGCACCAATTCTTTATTGTTTTAGACTCCAGCGGTACCAGATTATTTCACTGTTATGTTGTTTAGCACATACTGTTCACTTAGTTTTTAATTTAATTTTCTTTGGTTGAAATTTTATCTTTAGTTTTTCTTTTGTTTCTTTCAATATTTTGCCTTTGATTGATGATTGGCTTATGCAAGAACTTGAAGCCAAAGTTGTTTCCCCAGCAGTGCACAACCTCAGATGGATTGTTTGTATTTTCACTATGCTGTTGTATGTTTCCTAGCTCTATGAAAATAACATGGCTGTTGACAGCTCAGCTGTATACTTAGGTGTTCCACTCTGTCTACACATTGATGTCTCCTATTCATGACGGCCCAGACTATTGTCTTTGTTTTGGCTCGTCCGGTCAGCACCTGACATTTGTTTCCTTTGTTACAGTCATGTTATGTGCCCCTCATTTCCTTTGTTTTCCTATTTATCACACATATTTATGCTTGATTATTAACTTCTGTTTCTTCCATTATGTTACCACCAGTATGTTACTTCCCTAAAGGGTGTTTTATGACAGTTTTATTTTCCTTGTTTTTTCCTTTACATTTTCTTTCAGATACGTGTAATAAATGCTTTTCGCATGAGTTTAGATCGCTACGATAATCGTAGCCTCTCATCATTGCAAAGCCACCAGTCTGTACAAAACATACGAGCTGGTAGACGGCCCATGTTCCAGTCCTCCACAGACATGGCTGATCCTCCGCCAGTGGGGCTCATCTCTTCAGCTACTGCACCTGGCCGCTTCTCCGAAACTACCGCCATCTGATTTGATTACGTCCGCTGTTAGCACTTCCCGGGTTTTCATGCAGAGTTTATTATTACGAGTGACCGTGTCTTGGTTTCATACATTTGTGTGGTTAATCATTGGCGAAAATGTCCAATTTTATAAGGCTTTTTCAAGTTCTGGAGCATCACCAGGCCAAACCCCCAGCATTGGTCTCACGGCATACCTTTTTTATAGGAGAAATAATTGATCTGATCAGCGGCACAACCTACAAGAAAATATTCATACTGTATCAGATGGGAACTCATTTAAATAAATCATTAAAACATAACTCAATGTTTGGTTTTACTGAGCCCTACATTATGCTTATCACAACAATTCCCCAAGACTTCAATGATGTCATGTTCCCTGAAACCAGAGATGTCTTTGTTGCATAGTTTTATCTTAGTTGTCTTGTAGGGCTCTGATTTGTCTATCATCCCTACTATAACATCTTCTCAATAGATAACTTTTAGAATTTAGTTTTTAAAATGTTGCCTCTGCTATTCAGTATCTAAATAAGTGGCAGCATTGGGGGTGAAAGCCTGCGAAGTCCTTAACTAGCATATGATGACTTTATTAGTGTTTGAAATTGTTTTTATGTTCATTTATAAATATACAAAGCTGCTTTTTATTCTAATCTGCAGTTTTATTTTTTTATATTTTAGATTCTACTACCTTGCAGCTATCCATTTTAAAAATTTAGTTTAGAAAATATTATTTTAGATCTCCAGTGATGAATGCTGTTTACCTCTAGAATATTAGAAATAGTTAACATTGAAAGGGTAATGATTCAGCTTTGAGGTGTTGAAGATTCTAGTGGTCTCAAGTCTACCTTGAAATATAATCACTCAACCAAATGCTGCCTGTAGTTCCCCAAAAGTGGTGTCTGTATCCAGGGTAGAGCCGGTGATAGGCGTCTGCTGTTGATGTTTTGAGTTTGATTCCTTGTCAAATGTGTGTGTGGAACCAAAACCCTGTGGATGAGAATATGACATGGCATTTTGGACTGGCGCAAATTTTACATATTTTATTTCATTTTTTAAATACATGCATATACATTCACTTTAAAATATACCATACCTTTTTATCTTTTGTGCAGTTTGTGTAATGTGAAATCAAATGTTACCATGTATTTATAGTGGCTTTATTTTCTCATTCACTTATATTTTGTACATAGTTGATTGGTGTATATATGTTAGGGATGTAGGATCAAGTGTGCTAGTTGTGACAAAGACTGGCTAGAATTTACACAACGGCCAGCTTTCAGTGCAGTCTGTGTCCTCACAATCAAATACAATACAGTCAGTTGACTGTCAGCCTTCAGTGCAGTCTGTGACCTCACAATCAAATACAATACAGTCAGTTGACTGTCAGCATTCAGTGCAGTCTGTGACCTCACAATCAAATACAATACAGTCAGTTGACTGTCAGCATTCAGTGCAGTCTGTGACCTCACAATCAAATACAATACAGTCAGTTGACTGTCAGCATTCAATGCAGTCTGTGTCCTCACAATCTAGTACAGTAGTCAGTTGACTGTCAGCATTCAATGCAGTCTGTGTCCTCACAATCTAGTACAGTAGTCAGTTGACTGTCAGCATTCAATGCAGTCTGTGTCCTCACAATCTAGTACAGTAGTCAGTTGACTGTCAGCATTCAATGCAGTCTGTGTCCTCACAATCTAGTACAGTAGTCAGTTGACTGTCAGCATTCAGTGCAGTCTGTGTCCTCACAATCTAGTACAATACAGTCAGTTGACTGTCTGTATTCTGTTTATGACCTGACAATATGGAAGTAATGTAAATGAGCTGATGGTGGGGAAAATACTGTTTATTCCCTGACAGTGGGGAAAATACTATATTTTCCTTGACAGTGGGGAAAGTACTATATTTGCCCAGACATACAAGTACTAAATACATCGAACTGACTGTATCTTCAGTCAAGCAGTGTTACTTACCTGGAAGAAATACTGTCCATAGATACAGCTCTGAAGCTTCCTAGCAGATTTTGTTTCTCCGTTCATAACTTTCAAGACATAGCATAGCTGTTTAGACACAATGGGTTGTGTGTAGTGGTTTCCCATGTTGAAAGTTTGAGAGCACCTGACAAGAAAGGTCAGAAGGTTGACAGGGGAGAGCACCTGGCTGGTTGGACAACTTCCTTCTCTATCAAGTTTTGTACTTTGTTTCAGCTTGATACTCTCCTTTGTTCAGAAGAGAATGATCTCAATTTTTCTTTTAGTGAAAACTCTTGAAGTCTTTAGGTCATAAGGTTTCTTCTTTGTCAGTGTAAGATATTTTTCAATTATCATCAAGGGTTCAGTTTTGGAAACAGTTTGTCTTTTTCTTCTTCTTCATCTTCTGTGTTCTCTCTAAAAACAGCCATTAGCACATTGTGTCTGGGTCCAACACATCCAATTTCAGCAAACCTCTAATTAGTTATTTACTGCATGCAGTAAGTAAATTTAATTCCTCCCTGCTCCCAAACTGCAGCCCCAGTGACAGCTGTGTTGTTTAACAGGGGTTTATACAGGGTTAATAGAGCAGATACATTCACTGCACATGTAGCATCAATAGTAAGTTGGATTCTAATTGTTTGACACAAGCCAGTTTCTGTACGTTTGGATGTTTTCAGATAAATTCAGCAGAAGCCGTATGAACATTAGCTGAAATAATTGTTTTCAACTTAGTTTTAATTAGCTTGTTTTATGTGCTGTCAATAAAGTGCATATTGTAGTTATTGATGCCCACCTAATTTCAACACACACAAACAATGTTACATGAAATATAAATATTGATAAAGCACAATATTGTTAGTGCTGACTGATTCCCTGTATGTGTAAAACATATACATTATTCTAACTTTTGAAATACCCGGGGGCTATTCTGTACTGAACTGTGTGCATAAGCTTCTTTAAACTAACAGCTCAGCTCAGGATTTTATTGAATATTGAAAGCTCAGAAACATTATTCATGAGCATTTGGATTTGTATGCAGTAGATAAAGAATAACAACAATAAATTTATTAATGGTATTCAGGTATTCAAGCACAAAAAAAATTGTCTAAATGGGAATTGGGGTTGCATTTCATACAGACAGCGCAAGATTTTGTTTATACACGTTTTCTGTTGGATATTTCTTGTTTGTCAAATATTTTATTGTTCATGTTTTTATCCGATTCTGTGTCATGAGGAATAGTCATTTCTTTGTTTTGATTGAAATACTGCCGTTTGAGTTGTGGGATGCTGAAGCAGAAGCATTTGTTTGCTTTCATGGGTGGCTAGAATCAGGGGAACTTGAGCCTACATGGATTGACTGACGTAGGGGACCTGCAGATGTGTGTTCACATGGATTAACATAACACTGATGTAACGTGTGCACAGAAACATAACACTGAGGTTGCAAAATGACACACATAAAACAACATAATTGTACACATACTTTGATGTACACACTGATTATAGAGTATAACTTGAGAATACATCAAAGATTGAAAGACCACCCTTAAAAATTAATAGAACGCGTTGAGAAGATACAGTTGCATGAGTGATGAAACAGTTTTTGTGTTATTTTAGGTAATATTTCTGAGAACATAGGTATTCTACTCTCAGATGTCTGTCAGTCTCAACCAGAATGTATAGAAATACTTGGATATGTCATTGTTTGAACAGCTGTATATGTTTGGGGACTGAACTTTGGGCACATGCTATTTGGCAAATGCTGTTAAAACATGAGCAGCTTCCAGCTTCTGCAGCGCTTCTTGTGTTGTCCATGCTATGTGGCCACTTGTCTGTCATCATCTTGATCATCTGCTACACGACTCTCTGACCACTGCCTCATCCAGAGAAGTCTAGACAAGCTGCCAGGGCTTCATCCATTGATTGCATTGGTACATTGTTCTCAATTCCTTTCTCTTCTTCATTTTTGTTCTTGCAGGAAGGGGATAGTTTTGACTATTTCTCCTTGATCAGGGACATTGGTAGTCCTCGGAGCGCCAGGAGTCTAACTCTGCCCTCCAACCTCCACACTCGATTCTATATGAACTCGCAGAAAGCTCGGTAGTTTTCAGTCTGGGTCAGTTAGTGACTTAATAACTCTTTGATGTGCAGCCATGGGACTGCATGCTGGACAGTAAGTATCTGAGAGCAGGTTCATCCATTATTCAGCTGTTCACTGTCAGTTTCCATTGAGTGGTCTAGTTCTGGAGCTGCAGGTATGCGTGAAACAGGGTTATTGTGGAATGTTTGTAACTGTTCTTGTTCATGTGTTACAAAAGGAATTCTTGTCTCTTGTTGAATGTCTGTGAGATATACACTCAACCAACTACCTAATGGTTGGTTGTGTTATTTGCGGTTGTTAATAAGAGGCCAACACAGTTACACACTGTATATCAAGTAATGTATGTGCACTTAATTATTTTGTACTTAGTTAATCAGGCTATGTTACACAGAACTTGAGTTTCTAGTGCATTGTGGCTAGTTCTTGTCTGTCACATTCATACTTAAACTGAATATTTTCATGTATCCATCATCCATCATAGCTAACATAACCATTTAACTGGGTGTTCCTGGCAGCTGTAGTTGGCCAGTATTTGACATCAAATTATTTAACAACAATTGACATTTGATTTATGTAACCACAACTGACTTCATATGATGTGTATAACAACAGTGACATTATATGATGTGTATAACAACAGTGATGAACACTGCGGTTGCATGAAACTCTGTGATTCAGATAGAAGAAGTAGATAATAATACATCTGGCTCTATGGCTTCTGATAATGAGTAAACCATATTTATTCCTGTTTAGGACTTTGGCCATAGAAACTAAACAAGTCTTTTTTCTGTGGCTAGAGGTAGCTAATAATTTCCACTGTTTGGCTCTTTCAGTTAGACACTCTTGATAGATACTTACGAGTAATTTAGCTAACTGATTGCTTAAGGTAAACATCATTCATACATGACTTCCGGTGTAAACAGCCACAATGGCGGTACGCTT